AACTAAATCAGAGGTGAAAAAGAATGTTTGGGAAAAATAAAACCGGAAAGGTTATAACAATGAGAACAAGATGAGACAAATAATTTAAAAATGTGACAAATAAATGAAGCATTTTTCTAACAATTCGTATTAGTTCATTGATAAATTTAAAACGTCTGTGCGTCATAAAACATGTCCGGAAAAGTATAATCCCTTAATCGTACTTGATCTAGATCAAAATTAAAATGACAAACAAATCACTTATTACAGTTTTTTGTCACTTTTCTTTTAGAAAGTAATGGTCTAAATCCCCAAAAAACACCTCTTCCCCCTTCACACATCTTTATTTCCAACTACTCAACACATGCCTCGAAATCACAATCTTCTGAATCTGCGACGTCCCCTCATAAATCTGGAAAATCTTCGCATCCCTCATCAGCTTCTCCACCGGGTACTCGCTATTAAACCCCGCCCCTCCGAACACCTGCACCGCCTCCGACGCATTCCTGTTAGCGACATCGCTAGCCAGCAACTTAGCAATCGACGCCGAGTACGAATTCCTCATCCCGTTGTCCACCTCCCACGCCGCCTTCATCCACATCAACCTCGAGCTCTCCACCCCCACCGCCATCTCCGCCAGGATGAACGCGATGGCCTGGTGCTGCGCGATCGGCACCCCGAACGTCTTGCGCTCCTGCGAGTACTTGGTGGCCTCTTCCAGACACCGCTGCGCCAACCCCACGGCCCCACAAGCCACCGAAGGCCGCGACTTGTCGAAAGTACCCATTGCGATCTTAAAACCGGCGCCTTCACCGAGGAGGACGTTCTCTTTGGGGACGCGCACGTCTTCGAAGGTCACGCCCCGGGTGTCGGAGGCGCGCTGACCCATGTTGAGCTCCTTGCGGCCGGGGGTGACGCCGGGGAAGTCGCGCTCGACGATGAAGCCGGTGAAGGCTTTCCCTAGACGGAGCAGATGTTAATGTGTGGGTGGGAGGAGAGTGAGGTGGTACCTGCGGGGCAGTTGGGGTCGGGGTTGGTGCGGGCGAGGACGAAGTACCAGTTGGCTACGCCTCCATTCGTAATCCACATCTTCTGACCATTGAGGATCCACTCGTCGCCTTTTTTTTCGGCGCGGGTTTTGGCGCCGGCCACGTCGGAACCGCCCCCGGGTTCGGTGACGGCGTAAGCCTAATAAAACTAACTTTTAGACACCCAAGTCCCACTACTGAAAAGTACTAGTCGTACCGATATCAGTGGTTCTTCGACCATCCGCCCCAAGTACTTTTTCTGTTGCTCTTTATTACCAGCAATGACTAGAGGTAGTTGCTACAACACAAAATTTAAGATATGCAAAAATAGCAAAAAACTGAAAAATCGAGAAACTCAAATATCAAATTTATTTAAGATGCAAAATCTAATATTTCATAAAACAAAACACTGAAAAATCGAAAATTTGAAAAATTGAAAAATCAAAAATAGAAATTAAAAAATTTAAATAACCGAAAATCGAAGAATCGAAAAATAGAAAAATGGAAAAATAAAATCGAGAAGCAAAAATATTGAAAATCGAAAATTCAAAAATTCGAAAATTGTAAAATCGAAGATTCGAAAACTCAAAAATCCAAAAATCGAAAATTTGAGAAATTGAAAAATCGAAAAGTGTTTCGATTTTTCAGATTTTCAATTTGTGGATTTTGATATTCCAAATCTTCGAATTTTCAATTTTTTACTTTTCGAGTTTTCAATTTTTCCATTTCAGTTTTTGGATCTTTCAGTTTTTTGCTTTTCAATTTTTTGATTACCTGAGGTTTTAATCTTACAATTTTCAATTTTCAATATTTTTACTTTTCGATTTTATTGCGGGTTTCGAATTTTTGATTTTTCGATTTGTTTATTCATAAATTTTTTTCTTCGAATTCTCATTTTTAGATTTTTCGATTTTCGATTTTTCAGTTTTTCGATTCATCGATTTTTAAAATTTTTAATTTTTTCTTTTCGATTTCTTTATTTTGGATTTTTTGTTTCATCGAATTTCCGATTTTCGTATTCGATTTTTCAATTTTTCGATTTCTTGTTTATAAGTTTCTGATTTTCGAGTTTTCGATTTTACAATTTTTCCGATTTTTCGGTTTTTCAAATTTTGATTTCAGATTTCCGTTTTTCGATTTTTTGATTTTCAATTTTCTGAATTATCGATTTTCAACTTTTCGAATTTTCGATTCATCGAGTCTCCAGTTGCCGATTTTCGTATTCGATTTCTCGATTTTTCAATTTTTGCTTTCCGATTTTTGGTTTTTGGAATTTTCGGTTTTTCATGTTTTATACTTTTCAATTTTATTACTTATCGGTTTATCAATTTCTAAAATTTTCAATTTTTGGATTTTCGATTTTTTAATACATATTCGAATTTTCAATTTTTTAACTTTACAAATTTTTGCTCTTTCGATATTTCGTATTCGATTTTTCAATTTTTTTAATTTTCAATTTTTCGGTTTCTCGATTTGACGATTTCTAGATTTTCCTTTTTTTCGCTTTTCGGTTATTCGAATTTTTGATTCACTATTTTTCATTTCTTTAATTTTTAAAATTTTCGATTTTCATCCTCGATTCTTCCATTTAACTAATTTTCCATTTTAGAATTTTAGAATTTTTGAATTTTCGGTTTTTCGTGTCTCGATTTTTCGATTTTCAAATTTTCTTCAAGTTTTAAAATGCCCAGTTTTTTTCTTTTTGATTTTTGATTTCTGATTTTTCAAATTTTCGATTTTTCCATTTTTTTTACTTTTCGATTTTATAGTTTTTGGACTTTCAATTTTTCGGTTTTTGGATTTTCGACTTTTCGAAATTTTAATTTTCAGTAGTTTTAATTTTTGGATGTTTCGATTTTTCCATTCTTCAATTTGTCGATCTTCCATTTTTTTGCTATTCGATATTTTGATTTTTCAATTTTTCCGAATTTTCAATCTTTTGACTCTCAATTTTTCGATTTTCGATTTTTAGGTTTTTCAAATTTTCGATTTCCGATTTTACTTTTTTCCAATTTTTGACTTCCAATTTTCCGAATTATTGATTTTCAATTTTTTGAATTATTGATCTTCAATTTTTCGATTTTTTTATTCTGTTTGAAGTTTTCGATTTTTGAGAGAATTGAATTGAATTTTCTATTTTTCGGCTTTTCCATTTCTCGACTTTTCGATTTTCGATTTTTCAGTTTTTCGATTCCTCAGTTTTTAAAATTTTTAATTTTTCTTTTCCATTTTTTTATTTACGATTGTTTGTTTCATCGAATTTTCGATTTTCGTATTCGATTTTTCAATTTTTCGATTTCTCGATTTTAAATTTCTGATTTTCGAGTTTTCGATTTTCCAATTTTTAGATTTTTCGACTTTTCGATTTTCACTTTTTCGATTTTCGGTAATTCTCGATTTTCAACTTTTCGAATTTTCGATTCATCGATGTCTCCAGTTGTCGATTTTCGTTTTTGATTTTTCGATTTTCAAATTTTCTTCAGGTTTTACCAGTTTTATTCTTTTTGATTTTTGTTTTCTGATTTTTGATTTTTGTTTTCTGATTTTTCAAATTTTCGATTTTTCAATATTTTACGCTTGTCAATTTTTTTACTTTTCGATTTTGCGGCTTTTGGATTTTCGATTTTTCGAGTTTTGGATTTTGGACTTCGAAATTCTAATTTTCAATAGTTTTAATTTTCGATATTTCGATTTTTCAATTTTTTCATTCTTCAGTTTGTCGATCTTTCAATTTTTTTGTTATTCGATATTTTGATTTCTCGAGTTTTCAATTTTCCAATTTTTGATTTTTCGATTTTTCCGAATTTTCGATTTTTTGACTCTCAATTTTCCGATTTTCGATTTTTCGGTTTTTCAAATTTTTGACTTCAGATTTCCGTTTTTCGATTTTTTGATTTCCAATTTTCTGAATTCTGAATTTTCGAATTTTCGATTCATCCTTGAAGTCTCCAGCCGATTTTCGTATTCGATTCCTCGATTTTTCGATTTTTAGTTTATCGATTTTTCAATTTTTCAGTTTTTAGAATATCTAATTTTTACTTTTCGATTTTTCGTTTGCCAATTTTTCGATTTTCACTGTTTCGAATTTTTGCTTTCTGATTTTTGGTTTATCAAATTTTCGGTTTACAAGTTTTAAACTCCGATTTTTTAATACATATTCGAATTTTCAATTTTTTACGTTTCAAATATTTGATGTTTCGATTTTTCATATTGAATTTTTCAATTTTTCGGTTTTTCGATTTCTCAATTTTTAGATTTCCCGATTTTCCGACTTTCGGCTATTCGAATTTTTGATTCACTGTTTTTCGATTCTGCAATTTTTCAAATTTTCGATTTTCATCTTCGATTCTTCAATTGACGAATTTTCGATTTTAGAATTTTTGAATTATTAAATTTTCGGTTTTTCGATGTCTCGATTTTTCGATTTTAGACTTTCAAGTTTTCCATTCTTCAGGTGTTAGAATTTCCAGTTTTATTCTTTTCGATTTTTGATTTCTGTTTTTTCAAATTTTCGACTTTTCAATATTTACAATGGTTTTGATTTTTGAATTTTCAATTTTTCAACTTCAGATTTCTCGATTTTTGGATTTTTCGAAGTTTATCATTTTAACAGTAAATAATTAATAAATTTTCAACGCACAAAAATAAAAATAAAACAATCCAAAAAACAAAATGTAAAAATAAAAACTAAATCAGAGGTGAAAAAGAATGTTTGGGAAAAATAAAACCGGAAAGGTTATAACACTGAGAACACGATGAGACAAATAATTTAAAAATGTGACAAATAAATGAAGCATTTTTCTAACAATTCGTATTAGTTCATTGATAAATTTAAAACGTCTGTGCGTCATAAAACATGTCCGGAAAAGTATAATCCCTTAATCGTACACTTGATCTAGATCAAAATTAAAATGACAAACAAATCACTTATTACAGTTTTTTGTCACTTTTCTTTTAGAAAGTAATGGTCTAAATCCCCAAAAAAAACACCTCTTCCCCCTTCACACATCTTTATTTCCAACTACTCAACACATGCCTCGAAATCACAATCTTCTGAATCTGCGACGTCCCCTCATAAATCTGGAAAATCTTCGCATCCCTCATCAGCTTCTCCACCGGGTACTCGCTATTAAACCCCGCCCCTCCGAACACCTGCACCGCCTCCGACGCATTCCTGTTAGCGACATCGCTAGCCAGCAACTTAGCAATCGACGCCGAGTACGAATTCCTCATCCCGTTGTCCACCTCCCACGCCGCCTTCATCCACATCAACCTCGAGCTCTCCACCCCCACCGCCATATCGGCCAGGATGAACGCGATGGCCTGGTGCTGCGCGATCGGAACCCCGAACGTCTTGCGCTCCTGCGAGTACTTGGTGGCCTCTTCCAGACACCGCTGCGCCAACCCCACGGCCCCACAAGCCACCGAAGGCCGCGACTTGTCGAAAGTACCCATAGCGATCTTAAAACCGGCGCCTTCACCGAGGAGGACGTTCTCTTTGGGGACGCGCACGTCTTCGAAGGTCACGCCCCGGGTGTCGGAGGCGCGCTGACCCATGTTGAGCTCCTTGCGGCCGGGGGTGACGCCGGGGAAGTCGCGCTCGACGATGAAGCCGGTGAAGGCTTTACCTAGACGGAGCAGATGTTAATGTCTGTGTGGGAGGAGAGTGAGGTGGTACCTGCGGGGCAGTTGGGGTCGGGGTTGGTGCGGGCGAGGACGAAGTACCAGTTGGCTACGCCTCCATTCGTAATCCACATCTTCTGACCGTTGAGGATCCACTCGTCGCCCTTTTTCTCGGCGCGGGTTTTGGCGCCCGCCACGTCGGAACCGCCCCCGGGCTCGGTGACGGCGTAAGCCTAATAAAACCAACTTTTAGACACAGAAGTCACACTACTGAAAAATACTAGTCGTACCGATATCAGTGGTTCTTCGACCATCCGCCCCAAGTACTTTTTCTGTTGCTCTTTATTACCAGCAATGACTAGAGGTAGTTGCTAAAACACAAAATTTAAGATATGCTAAAATAGCAAAAAACTGAAAAATCGAAAATTTGGGAAATTGAAAAATCAAAAATAGAAAATAAAAAATTCGAATAACCGAAAATCGAAGAATCGAAAAATAGAAAAATTGAAAATCAAAAAATCGGGAAATCGAAAACTGGAAGAAACAAAAAATCGTAAATAAAGAAATCGAAAACTCGAAAATTCGAAAAACGTCAAATGGAACAATAAAATCTAGAAGCAAAAATATTGAAAATCGAAAATTCAAAAATTCGAAAATTGTAAAATCGAAGATTCGAAAACTCAAAAATCCAAAAATCGAAAATTTGAGAAATTGAAAAATCGAAAAGTGTTTCGATTTCTCAGATTTACAATTTGTGGATTTTGATATTCCAAATCTTCGAATTTTCAATTTTTTACTTTTCGAGTTTTCAATTTTTCCATTTCAGTTTTTGGATCTTTCAGTTTTTTGCTTTTCAATTTTTTGGTTACCTGAGGTTTTAATCTTACAATTTTCAATTTTCAATATTTTTACTTTTCGATTTTATTTTTCAAATTGCGTCTTTTCGAATTTTTGATTTTTCGATTTGTTTATTCATAAAATTTTTTTTCTTCGAATTCTCGTTTTTAGATTTTTCGATTATCGAATTTTCGATTTTAGATTTGAATTTTCAATTTTTCGGTTTTTCAATTTCTCCATTTTTCGATTCTTGAGTTTTTAGAATTCTGTTTTTACTTTTCGATTTTTCGGTTTCCAATTTTTCGATTTTCATTGTTCAAATCTTTTGGAATTTTCGATTTTTCAAGTTTTAGACTTTTCAGTTTTGTTTTTTTCGATTTTTCAATTTTTTACTTTTTGCTGTTCAATTTTTTGATTTCTTGAGGTTTCAGTTTTACAAAATTCGATTTTTCGAATTTTCAATTTTCAATATATTTACTTTAGATTTTATTTTTCGAATTGCGGTTTTTCGATTTTCGATTTTCGATTGCTTTATTTATGATTTTTTATTTCTTCGAATTTTCGATTTTCGATTTTCATATTCGATTTTAAAAATTTTTCAAATTTTTCAAATTCGTTCGTTTTTAGATTTTTCAATTTTCGAGTTTTTGAATTTTCGAATCCCCGATTTTTCATATGTTCGATTTTCGATTTTTGATTTTTACATTTTCCGAATTTTGGATCTTTTGACTCTCGTTTTCACAATTTTTTGATTTCCAATTTTCCGAATTTTCGATTTTCAATTTTTCGAATTTTTGATTCATCGAATTTTCTGGTTCTCGATGTTCGATTTTAGAATTGAATTTTCTATTTTTCGCCTTTTCGACTTCTCGATTTTTCGCTTTCGATTTATCTATTTTTCGATTTTCGATTTTTCAGTTTTTCGATTCATCAGTTTTTAAAATTTTTAATTTTTTCTTTTCGATTTCTTTAGTTAGGATTTTTTGTTTCATCGAATTTTCGATTTTCGTATTCGATTTTTCAATTTTTCGATTTCTCGTTTTTAAGTTTCTGATTTTCGAGTTTTCGATTTTACAATTTTTCGATTTTTCAATTTTTTGACGTTTCAAATATTTGATGTTTCCATTTTTCATATAGGATTTTTCAATTTTTCTAATTTTCAATTTTTCGGTTTTTCGATTTCTCGATTTTTAGATTTCCGATTTTTCGACTTTCGGTTATTCGAATCTTTAATTCAGTATTTTTCAATTATTCAATTTTTCAAATTTTCGATTTTCATCTTGGCTTCTTCAATTTAACGAATTTTCCATTTTAGATTTTTTGAAATTTTAAATTTTCGGTTTTTCGATTTTTCAATTTTTTACTTTTTGCTGTTCAATTTTTTGATTTCTTAAGGTTTCAGTTTTACAAAATTCGATTTTTCGAATTTTCAATTTTCAAATTTTTCCGATTTTCGATTTTTCGATCGAGTCTCCAGTTGCCGATTTTCGTATTCGATTTCTCGATTTTTCAATTTTTGCTTTTCGATTTTTGGTTTTTGGAATTTTCGATTTTTCAAGTTTTATACTTTTCAATTTTATTACTTATCGGTTTATCAATTTCTAAAATTTCCAATTTTTGGATTTTCGATTTTTGAATACATATTCGAATTTTCAATTTTTTAATTTTACAAATTTTTGCTCTTTCGATCTTTCGTATTCGATTTTTCAATTTTTCTAATTTTCAATTTTTCGGTTTCTCGATTTGGCGATTTTTAGATTTCCCGTTTTTTTCGCTTTTCGGTTATTCGAATTTTTGATTCACTATTTTTCATTTCTTTAATTTTTAAAATTTTTGATTTTCATCCTCGATTCTTCCATTTAACTAATTTTCCATTTTAGAATTTTAGAATTTTTGAATTTACGGTTTTTCGTGTCTCGATTTTTCGATTTTCTTTTAAAATTTCCAGTTTTATTCTTTTTGATTTTTGATTTGATTTTTCAAATTTTCGATTTCTCCATTTTTTTTACTTTTCGATTTTATAGTTTTTGGACTTTCAATTTTTCGGTTTTTGGATTTTCGACTTTTCGAAATTTTAATTTTCAGTAGTTTTAATTTTTGGATGTTTCGATTTTTCAATTTTTCCATTCTTCAATTTGTCGATCTTTAATTTTTTTGCTATTCGATATTTTGATTTTTCGATTTTTCCGAATTTTCGATCTTTTGACTTTCAATTTTTCGATTTTCGATTATTAGGTTTTTCAAATTTTCGACTTCCGATTTTAGTTTTTTCCAATTTATGATTTCCAATTTTCCGAATTTTCGATTTTCAATTTTTTGAATTTTTGATCTTCAATTTTTCGAATTTTTTATTCTTTATGAAGTTTTCGATTTTTGAAAGAATTGAATTGAATTTTCTATTTTTCGGCTTTTCCATTTCTCGACTTTTCGATTTTCGATTTTTCAGTTTTTCGATTCCTCAGTTTTTAAAATTTTTAATTTTTCTTTTCCATTTTTTTATTTACAATTGTTTGTTTCATCGAATTTTCGATTTTCGTATTCGATTTTTCAATTTTTCGATTTCTCGTTTTTAAATTTCTGATTTTCGAGTTTTCGATTTTCCAATTTTTAGATTTTTCGACTTTTCGATTTTCACTTTTTCGATTTTCGGTAATTCGAATTTTTGATTTTCGAATTTTGATCTTCGATTTTCCGAATTTCCGATTTTTTGACTCTCAATGTTACAATTTTCTGAATTCCCGATTTTCAACTTTTTGAATTTTCGATTCATCGATGTCTCCAGTTGTCGATTTTCGTTTTTGATTTTTCGATTTTCAAATTTTCTTCAGGTTTTACCAGTTTTATTCTTTTTGATTTTTGTTTTCTGATTTTTCAAATTTTCCATTTTTCAATTTTTTACGCTTGTCAATTTTTTTACTTTTCGATTTTGCGGCTTTTGGATTTTCAATTCTTCGGTTTTTGGATTTTGGACTTTTCGAAATTCTAATTTTCAATAGTTTTAATTTTCGATATTTCGATTTTTCAATTTTTCCATTCTTCAGTTTGTCGATCTTTCAATTTTTTTGTTATTCGATATTTTGATTTCTCGAGTTTTCAATTTTCCAATTTTTGATTTTTCGATTTTTCCGAATTTTCGGTCTTTTAACTCTCAATTTTCCGATTTTCGATTTTTCGGTTTTTCAAATTTTTGACTTCAGATTTCCGTTTCTTGATTTCCAATTTTCTGAATTCTGAATTTTCGAATTTTCGATTCATCCTTGAAGTCTTTGACTTTTCGAAATTTTCAAAATGGTTTTAATTTCCGATATTTCAATTTTTCAGTTTTTCCATTCTTCAGTTTGTCGATCTTTCAATTTTTTTACTATTCGATATTTTGATTTCTCGAGTTTTCAATTTCCCAAATTTTGATTTTTGATTTTTGATTTTTCGATTTTTCCGAATTTTCGATCTTTTGACTTTCAATTTTTCGATTTTCGATTTTTTGGTTTTTCAAATTTTCGATTTGCGATTTTCGTTTTTGCATTTTTGATTTCCAATTTTCCGAATTTCGGATTTTCAATTTTTCGAATTTTCCATTTTTAATTTTCGGAATTTTTGATTCTTCAAATTTTTGAAGTTTTAGATTTTTGAGAGAATTGAATTGAATTTTCTATTTTTCGTCTTTTTGATTTTCGATTTTCGATGTTTCAGTTTTTCGATTCATCAGTTTTTAAAATTTTTAATTCTTTCTTTTCGATTTCTTTATTTTCGATTTTTTGTTTTATCGAATTTTCGATTTTTGTATTCGATTTTTCAATTTTTCGATTTCTCGTTTTTAAATTTCTAATTTTCGAGTTTTCGATTTTCCAATTTTTAGATTTTTCGACTTCGATTTTAACTTTTTCGATTTTCGGTTATTCGAATTTTGATTCTTCGATTTTTCGGATTTTCGATTTTTTGACTCTCAATTTTCCGATTTTCGGTTTTTCGGTTTTCCACATTTTTGATTTCCGATTTCCGTTTTTCGATTTTTTGATTTCCAATTTTCTGAATTCTAAATTTTCGATTCATCCTTGAAGTCTCCAGTTGTTGATTTTCGCATTCGATTTCTCGATTTTTCGATTTTTGGTTTATCGATTTTTCAATTTTTCAGTTTTTAGAATATCAAATTTTTGCTTTCCGATTTTTGTTTTACATATTCGAATTTTCAAATTTTTTGACGTTTCAAATATTGTATGTTTCGATTTTTCATTTTGGATTTTTCAATTTCCCTAATTTTCAATTTTTCTGTTTATCTATTACTAGACTATTATACTCAGTTCTAAATATTTAATTTTTGTAACATGTATTATGAAGCGCCAGTTAGTGTATATATATATATTTTTTTGTTAAATTGTAAGATTTTTGTATCTATATGGACACCTGTCCGTTGGAAAATAAATTACGAATTCTTTAACCCATTTTTTAAAACACTAGATACCTAAATACATTAGTCGTACCGATAAGTTATTCGAATCAATGGCGGTGAAAATTCCAGTACAACCAAACGCTATCTCCTCACCGGTTAAGCAAATATTGAACACACTCTGCCCCAAGCCCCCTACAACCCAAGAATTAAAAAACCATTGAGTGCGTTCCAGAAAGTACCAATATTTTCAGGGATGTGCCCGTTGGTCAAACCCAGAGACCATGCCTTCTTGATAAGTTCGTACGGGTATTCGCCAGTCTTGTCAAACTGGGCCGCCACCGGTACTATCTCTTCTCTGGCAAATTTTCGCGCCACGGCTTGAAATTCTCGCTGGGTGTCATTCAAACCTACACAAATTTATCACTGAGTATAAAAATAAACCGGTCGATAAGATAACGTGATAAAGCTGACGTCCCCAAAACATGTTTTGGGTACCAAAATACACATTTTAAGTGAACCTACCAAAATTGAACCCATTTGGGTGTGCCGCACTTTGAATAGCACTAAGAGAGAAAGTGCGCTGGGTCGTACCTCTTGTAGCAGTCAGTACCTAGAAAATTTAGACTTAACCTCACATATTTTCAATTAGTACTCACCTTTTGGATAAAAGATGCCATTTAGAAGCGGTAAAGTACACCTCCGGGAGCAAAAACAACCACAAAACGTTAACACTTTTATTATACAATCAACGCACTAAGAATAGATAAGATAAACAATGTTATGTTTCTGCTGGAGTTTGACCCGTGATGTGACAACTTTCCAACACAAAAAAATCAACCCGTTTGTTTCGTTGTGATATTCCTCGAAATCACCATCTTCTGGATTTGGGTGGTACCTTCATAAATTTGTAAGATTTTGGCGTCCCGCATTAGTTTTTCTACAGGGTACTCGCTGTTAAATCCGGCGCCTCCGAAAACCTGGACTGCGTCTGAAGCACACTTGTTGGCTACTTCAGACGCGTAGGCTTTAGCAATAGACGCAGTGTAGCTATTGCTGATCCCTTTGTCACACTCCCAGGCTGCTTTCATCCAAATTAACCTTGCCGTCTCTACACCTATGGCCATATCCGCCAGAATAAACGCGATCGCTTGGTGTTGGGCAATCGGTACTCCGAAAGTTTTACGTTCCAAAGAGTACTTAGTTGCTTCGTCGAGGCATCTTTGGGCAACACCTGTAGCGTTACAAGCAACCTAGAACAAATACGGTAACCGAAATGAGTAATCGTGGTAGTTAAAGTAGTACCGGGGGTCTGGTCTGGTCAAAAGCACCCATAGCAATTTTAAACCCGGCTCCCTCACCCAAAAGTACGTTCTCCTTAGGGACTCGCACATCTTCAAAAGTTACTGCGCGCGTGTCAGAAGCCCTTTGACCCATGTTTAGCTCCTTGCGGCCAGGGATAACACCAGGTGTGTCTCTTTCAACTATGAACCCAGTGAAAGCTTTACTAGCGGGACACTTTGGGTCTGGATTGGTCCTCGCGAGAACGAAGTACCAGTTAGCCACTCCCCCATTCGTAATCCACATTTTCTGCCCATTGAGTACATACTCGTCGCCCTTTTTCTCGGCTCTGGTTTGAACCCCGTTCACGTCGGAGCCAGTACCCGATTCGGTGACGCAGTAGCCCTACAAACACACGGTACTCAAAAGTTCGTACAATCGCACGCAAATGTTTTGAGCCTATGGGCGGATCGTTTTTGCCTGCCCTCACCGAAAAAGGCGGTTCAAATCCTTCAAGGGCAGAATTTGTAGGTAGGCTCAAACTACAACGAAATTCACATTTTACCCTATAAATTGTATTATAAAACAATATTTTGCAATTTAATTTTGAATTTGCAAAATCGAATACTTTGAAATCTTGCAGATGTTTTAAAATCATGATAAACATGATACATTTTTAATTAAAATATATTTGCTTATCCCCTCTAAAAAATTTATGACGTCACCTCAAAATTTTGCAGAATAAATCCTATCTTAAATGTATAAAATATGATGAGTTTTGTACTTGTGATTTATCACTGCATTAATATTTTTTAGATTTGGTTATACAGGGTGTCTAAAAAAAGTTAATGACTGAGTCAATTTATTTTATTGAAGAAATCAAGAATAGCAAAACTGAATACTTTGAAATATTGTAGATGTTTTGAAGTTTTTGTAAGCATGGTTACTTTTTCGAAAATTTGATTAATCAAATATGCGCAAAATCAAAAATCGGAAAAACTGAAATTCACTAATGCAAAAAACAGAAAATCGAAAAATACAAATCGTAAAAATCGAAAATCTAAAAATGGCTAATCAAAAAATCGAAAATTCAATGAATCAAATATCTAGGTCGATCGAAAAGTGGAAATTCACAAACCTCAAAAATCGAAAAATCGAAAATTGAAAAACGGGAAAACCAAAAAATCGAAAAGTCAAAAGTTTGTAATATTGAAAATTAAAAAAATCAAAAACAAGAATAAAAAAATCGGAAATTAAAATAATCAAAATATATAAAGTAAAAAAAATTGCAAAGCCTAAAAACTGAAACGAACAGAAAAATCGAAAATGCAAAAAATTGGAAAAACAAAAATTGGAAAAATCTAAAATCGAAAAAGTGGAAAATCGAAAATCTGAATAAAAAAACTTGAAAATTCTGAAAATTGGAAAATCGAAAAGCAAAAAATCGGGAAGTAACAAAATTGAAGTCTAACAGTTGAGAATGGAAAAATTGAAAACCCGAAAATTCTAAAAATCGACAATGGACAAATTGAAAATTGCAAATAAAAAAAAATCGGAAAATATCTAAACATGGAAAATCGAAAAATCCAAAATCGGAAAATGGAAAATTCGAAAAATCTAAAATCGAAAAAGTGGAAAATGGAAAATCTGAATAAAGAAACTTGAAAATTCTGAAAATTGGAAAATCGAAAAGCAAAAAATCGGGAAGTAACAAAATTGAAGTCTAACTGTTGACAATGGAAAAATTGAAAAACCGAAAATTCTAAAAATCGACGATGGACAAATTGAAAATCGCAAAATTTAAATTGAAAAATTGAACATAGAAAAATCCATGAATTGAAAAATCGAAAATTCGACTACTCAAATTTTCTAAAAATCGAAAGTCTGAAAACTGAAAATCGAAAATTCTGAAAAGCGGAAAATAGAATATCGAAAAATTTAAAAGAAAGAAAATTGAAGTCTAAAAACCGAAGAATAGAAAAATTAAAAATCAAAAATTCTAAAATTCAAAACGGAAAAATTCAAAGGTTTAAAAAGAAAATCGAAAAATCAAAAATCTGAAAATTGAAACTCGAAAATTTGGAAACTCGAAAAGTAAAAAAATTGAAGTCTAAAAGCTGAAAAATGGAAAACTGAACAATCGAAAATTCGAAAATCAAATATCGAAAAATCGGAAAGCCGAAAAATCGAAAATTTGATAAAACAAAATATTCGAAAAACAGAAAATCTGAAAATGCAAAACTGGAAAATCAAAAATCTAAAAATGGAAAAACCGAAAATCGAAAATTCAATGAATCTAATACGTAGGTCGATCGAAAAACTGGAAATTCACAAATCTGAAAAATCGAAATTTTGCAAGATTGAAAAAAAGAGAATTGAAAAATCAAAAAACCGAAAAATGAAAAAATCAAAAATCGAAAAATAGGAAAACCGAAAATTCGAAAATTAATAATGTTGAAAATTCTACAAGTCGACAATTCAAAAATCTAAAAATCGAAAAGTAAACAAATTGCAAAGCCTAAAAACTGACGAACAGAAAAATCGAAAAATCGTAAAATCAAAAAGTGGAAAATCGAAAACCGGAAATTGAAAAATCGAAGATTGGAAAATCGAAAAATCGAAAATCGGAATATCGAGAATCGACAAATTAAAAAACCGAAAAATCGAAAAATTAAAAAATCGGAAATTGAAAAATGAAAAAAAAAACGAAAATTCAAAAATCGAATAATCCGAAACTAAAATAATAGAAAAGTGGAAAAGCAAAAATTGCAAAGTCTCAAAACTGACGATCAGAACAATCGAAAAATAAAAAAAAATCGAAAAATATCCAAACATGGAAAATCGAAAAATCCAAAATCGGAAAATGGAAAAACCAAAAAATCTAAAATCGAAAAAGTGGAAAATGGAAAATCTGAATAAAGAAACTTGAAAATTCTGAAAATTGGAAAATCGAAAACCAAAAAATCGGAAAGTAACAAAATTGAAGTCTAACAGTTGAGAATGGAAAAATTGAAAACCCGAAAATTCTAAAAATCGACAATGGACAAATTGAAAATCGCAAAATTTAAATTGAAAAATTGAACATAGAAAAATCGATGAATTGAAAAATCGAAAATTCGACTACTCAAATTTTCTAAAAATCGAAAAATCATAAAACTGAAAAATCCAAAATTCTAATCATCGAAAGTCTGAAAACTGAAAATCAAAAATTCTGAAAAGCGGAAAATAGAATATCTAAAAAGAAAGAAAATTGAAGTCTAAAAACCGAAGAGTGGAAAAATTAAAAATCAAAAATTCGAAAAATCAAAACCGAAAAATTCAAAGATTTAAAAAGAAAAAATCAAAAATCTGAAAATTGAAACTCGAAAATTTGGAAAATCGAAAAGTAAAAAAATTGAAGTCTAAAAGCTGAAAAATGGAAAACTGAACAATCGAAAATTCGAAAATCAAATATCGAAAAATCGGAAAGCCGAAAAATTGAAAATTTGATAAATCAAATATGCGAAAAACAGAAAATCTGAAAATGCAAAACTGGAAAATCAAAAATCTAAAAATGGAAAAACCGAAAATCGAAAATTCAATGAATCTAATACGTAGGTCGATCGAAAAACTGGAAATTCACAAATCTGAAAAATCGAAAATTTGCAAGATTGAAAAACCGAGAATTGAAAAATCAAAATACCGAAAAATGAAAAAATCAAAAATCGAAAAATAGGAAAACCGAAAATTCGAAAATTAATAATGTTGAAAACTCTAAAAGTCGACAATTCAAAAATCAAAAAACTGGAAAGTAAAATAATCGAAAAATCGAAAAGTAAACAAATTGCAAAGCCTAAAAACTGACGAACAGAAAAATCGAAAAATCGTAAAATCAAAAAATGGAAAATCGAAAACCGGAAATTGAAAAATCGAAGATTGGAAAATCGAAAAATCGAAAATCGGAATATCGAGAATCGACAAATTAAAAAACCGAAAAATCGAAAAATTAAAAAATCGGAAATCGAAAAATGAAAAAAAAAACGAAAATTCAAAAATCGAATATTCCGAAACTAAAATAATAGAAAAGTGGAAAAGTAAACAAATTGCAAAGCCTAAAAACTGACGAACAGAAAAATCGAAAAATCGTAAAATCAAAAAATGGAAAATCGAAAACCGGAAATTGAAAAATCGAAGATTGGAAAATCGAAAAATCGAAAATCGGAATATCGAGAATCGACAAATTAAAAAACCGATAAATCGAAAAATTAAAAAATCGGAAATCGAAAAATGAAAAAAAAAACGAAAATTCAAAAATCGAATAATCCGAAACTAAAATAATAGAAAAGTGGAAAAGTAAAATTTGCAAAGTCTCAAAACTGACGAACAGAACAATCGAAAAATAAAAAAAAAATCGAAAAATATCTAAACATGGAAAATCGAAAAATCCAAAATCGGAAAATGGAAAAACCAAAAAATCGAAAATCGAAAACTCGAAAAATCGAAAATTCGATGAAACAAATACTCGAAAAAGCGAAATGTAAAAAAATTGCAAGGCCTAAAAATTGAAAAATCAAAAAATCGAAAAAATGAAAATCGAAAAAACGACGATCGAAAAAAAATCAAAAAATCGAAAAGTGGAAAATCGGAAAGTAACAAAATTGAAATCTAAAAGCTGCAAATTGCAGAACCATAAAAACTGAAACAAACAGAAAAATCGAAAAACCACAAAAGCGGAAAAACGAAAATCGAAAAATCGCAAATCGGAAAAGTCGTAAAGTCAGAAAATGGAAAATCGAATAATCGAAAGTTGAAAAATCGAAGGTCGAAAAATAAAACAACCGAAAAATCGAAAAATTTTATGATTAATGAAAAATCGAAAAATCGAGAATAGAATTAAAAAGCCGGAAAATTGAAAAATCGGAAATCGAAGAATTAAAAACGTAAAATCGAGAATTCAAAAATCAAAAAAATCGGAAAGTAAAATATAATCGAAAAATGCAAAAAAATTGCAAAGTCTAAAAACTGACGAACAGAAAAATCAAAAAATCTAAAAATGGAAAGACGAAAAATCGAAAATTGAAAGAATGGCAAATTAAAAAATCGAAACATCGAAAAATCGAAAAAACGAAAAATCGAAAAACGAAAAAACTGGAAACTCGAAAAATCAAAATACCGCAAATTTGAAAAATCAGAAAATTAGAAAGTAATAAAATCGAAAAGTTGATAGAAAAATGGAAACTGAAAAATCTAATTCCATGAAACTGTTGGTCGAAAAAACGAAAAATCGAAAATCGAAGTGACCTTTTTTTGAGACAGGCTGTATAAGTAAATCTAAAAAATATTACTGCAATGATAAATCACAGGTATAGACTCATCATATTCTGAACATTTTAGATAGGGTATTTATAAAATTAAAACTAATTCAGAGTAAGTATTTATAAAATTAAAATTAATTGAGGGTAAGAATTTGGTCAACACGTAAATTTCGTTGTAGTTTGAGCCTACCTACAAATTCTGCCCTTGGACGATTTGGACCGCCTCCTTCGGTGACGACCGGCAAAAATGATCCGCCCATAGGCTCAAAACATTTGCGTGTACTAAATCGACGTAATACAGTTGTTAACGGTTCTTCGAGTAGCCGCGGCAAAAACTTCCTCTGTTGGTCTTTAGTACCAGCGAATACGAGAGGTGTTACGCCCAGCCCGGCGGAACTAACAGCGGTGGCTATTCCAGAGCAACCCCAGAAGAGCTCCTCTACTACTAGACACGAATTGAAGAGACTTTCCTCAAGACCACCTACAAACAACTTTGTGGAGATTTGACGGTGGTGGGTAAGGTCGTACCGCAGTGTTTCGGAATGCGTAAATTGACAAGTCCCAAAGACCACGCTTTTTTGAAAATCTCGCTGGGGTATTCGGCGGTTTTGTCGTGGTAGGCGGCCACCGGGGCGATTTCTTCTCGGGCGAACTTGCGGGCCACCGCTTGAAATTCCTTCTGGGTTTCGTTGAGGTCTGCAAGAGTTTGAATTTAGGCGCCAATTGAGTGTGATAATGCAGGGACCGATAATAATCTCCATGCTCGTTTAAGTTTATCAAAGATGGTACTGGACGTTGGACTCCGATTTTCAGGTTATGTGACTTGCAAATGTGTTATTATCAGGTACACACGCTCAGGTTTTGAGTGTTTAAAATGTGTGAAGGTGAAAATTGTTTATTACCAAAGTTGTATCCATTTTGATGCACTACGTTAAAACTTAGGGCGCGCTGTGGCGCCCGTCGCCCTAAAACTCTAAGGAACTGGGTCATGTTTGCAAACACTGTGAACCTTGTCCCCAACTCTAAAATTGAAAAATTAAAAAATTGAGGAGAAGAAATTAGGAATTAAAAATTCGACAAGTCGAAAATCAAAAATTTAAAAACAGAAAAAGTGCAGAATTGTAAAACAGAAACTGAAACAACTGAAAATTGAAAAATTGGATCATTGAAAAATCGAAACATCGAAAAATTGAAAAATCGAAAAGTTAAAAAAAGATGGAAAATCGAAAATTTTAAAAATCCCGAAAATTCAAAAATTTAAATATGGAAGAACCGAAAACTCTAGAAATCAAAAATCTACAATTTCAAAAATTGAAAAATTAAAATATCGAAAAGTTGAAAAATTGAGAAATCGAAATATAAAACAGCCAAAAATAGAAAAATCGAAAGTTTAAAAAACGAAACACTGAAAATCGAGAAATCCAGAAGTCGAAAAATCGTAAGCTTATAAAATAAAAAAATTGAAAAATCAAAATCCTGAGAAATTGAAAAATTGAAACATCAAAAACCTGAAAAATTGAAGAATCGAAGAAGTGAAAAATCGAAACTTTGGAAAGAAATGGGAAAATATAAAAAGATTACTTCAGAAATCGGAAAACTGAAAATTTAGAAATGTCAAAATTTGAAAAATTCAAAAAATGACAAATCGAAATATTTAGAAATCGTAAAATTGAAGAGGATAATAATTGAGAAATTGTATCATTGAAACATCGGAAAATTGAAAAATCGAAAAATAAAAAAATTGTAAAACAGAAACGGAAAAAATGGGGAAATTGAAAAATTAGATAACTGAAAAAATGAAAACCTGAAAAAGCCAAAAACTACAAAGTTCTAAAATTGAAAAATCGACAATCGCATAATCAAAAATTGAGTAATTAATAAATCCAGACATTGAAAAATTGAAAAAGTGCAAAATAAATACTAAAAAAGTCAAATAACTGAAAAATCGAAAAATTCCACAATTGTAAAACCGAAAAATTGAAAACTGAGGAGAAATTAGGAATTAAAAAATCGACAAATCCAAAAATTAAAAATTAGAAAATCGAAAAAGTGGAAAATTGTGAAACAGAAACCGAAACAAATGAAAATTGGAAAAATCGAACGAGTTGAAAAATCGAATACCAAAGAATCGAAAAAATGCAAATTTATTAAAACAGATACTGAAAATATCGGGAAATTGAGAAAACTCAAAACAACAAAATTGTAAAGTTAAAAATCGAAAAAATCGAAAAATAAAAAATCTAAAATTGCAAAAGCACAACATTGAAAAATTAAAATCGGAACAATTGAAAATCAGAAATTAAAATATCAATAAATCTGAACATTGAAAAATTGAAAAATCGAAGAAATGTAAAATAGAAATTTAAAAAAAAATCGAAAAATTCCCCAACTCTACAATTGAAAAATTAAAAACTTGAGGAGAAGAAATTAGGAATTAAAAATTCGACAAGTCGAAAATCAAAAATTTAAAAACAGAAAAAGTGCAGAATTGTAAAACAGAAACTGAAACAACTGAAAATTGAAAAATTGGATCATTGAAAAATCGAAACATCGAAAAATTGGAAAATGGAAAAGTTAAAAAAAGATGGAAAATCGAAAATTTTAAAAATCCCGAAAATTGAAAAATTTAAATATGGAAGAACCGAAAACTCGAGAAATCAAAAATCTACAATTTCAAAAATTGAAAAATTAAAATATCGAAAAGTTGACAAAGTTAGAAATCGAAATATAAAACAGCCAAAAATAGAAAAATCTAAAGTTTAAAAAACGAAAAACTGAAAATCGGGAAATCCAGAAGTCGAAAAATCGTAAGCTTATTAAATCGAAAAATTAAAAAATCAAAATCCTGAGAAATTGAAAAATTGAAACATCAAAAACCTGAAAAATCGAAAAATTGAAGAATCGAAGAAGTGAAAATTCGAAACTTTGGAAAGAAATGGGAAAATATAATAAGATTACTTCAGAAATCGGAAACCTGAAAATTTAGAAACGTCAAAATTTGAAAAATTCAAAAATTGAAAAATCGAAATATTTAGAAATCGTAAAATTGAAGAGGATAAAAATTGAGAAATTGTATCATTGAAACACCGGAAAATTGAAAAATCGAAAAATAAAAAAATTGTAAAACAGAAACGGAAAAAATGGGGAAATTGAAAAATTAGATAACTGAAAAAATGAAAACCTGAAAAAGCTAAAAACTACAAAATTCTAAAATTGAAAAATCGACAATCGCATAATCAAAAATTGAGTAATTAATAAATCCAGACATTGAAAAATTGAAAAATTCCACAATTGTAAAACCGAAAAATTGAAAAGTGAGGAGAAATTAGAAATTAAAAAATCGACAAATCCAAAAATCAAAAATTAGAAAATCGAAAAGTTGAAAATTGTAAAACAGAAACTGTTCGAAACAAATGAAAATTGGAAAAATCGAACAAGTTGAAAAATCGAATACCAAAGAATCGAAAAAATGCAAATTTATTAAAACAGAAACTGAAAATATCGGGTAAATGAGAAAACTAAAAACAACAAAATTGTAAAGTTAAAAATCGAAATATGAAAAATCTAAAATCGCAAAAGCACAACATTGAAAAATTAAAATCGGAACAATTGAAAAATCAGAAATTGAAATATCAATAAATCTGAACATTGAAAAATTGGAAAATCGAAGAAATGTAAAATCGAAATTAAAAAAATATCGAAAAATTCCCCAACTCTAAAATTGAAAAATTAAAAAATTGAGGAGAGGAAATTAGGAATCAAAAATTCGACAAGCCGAAAATCAAAAATTTAAAAACAGAAAAAGTGCAGAATTGTAAAACAGAAAGTGAAACCACTGAAAATTGAAAAATTGGATAATTGAAAAATCGAAACATCGAAAAATAGAAAAATCGAAAAGTTAAAAAAAGATGGAAAATCGAAAATTTTAAAAATCCCGAAAATTGAAAAATTTAAATATGGAAAAACCGAAAACTCGAGAAATCAAAAATCTACAATTTCAAAAATTGAAAAATTAAAATATCGAAAAGATGAAAAATTTGGAAATCGAAATATAAAACAGCCAAAAATAGAAAAATCTAAAGTTTAAAAAACGAAAAACTGAAAATCGGGAAATCCAGAAGTCGAAAAATCGTAAGCTTATAAAATAAAAAAATTGGAAAATCAAAATCCTGAGAAATTGAAAAATTGTAGAATCGAAGAAGTGAAAAATCGAAACTTTGGGAAGAAATGGGAAAATATAAAAAAAGGATTACTTCAGAAATCGGAAAACTGAAAATTTAGACACGTCAAAATTTGAAAAATTCAAAAATTGAAAAATCGAAATATTTAGAAATCGTAAAATTGAAGAGGATAAAAACTGAGAAATTGTATCATTGAAACACCGGAAAATTAAAAAATCGAAAAATAAAAAAATTGTAAAACAGAAACGGAAAAAATGAGGAAATTGAAAAATTAGATAACTGAAAAAATGAAAACCTGAAAAAGCCAAAAACTACAAAATTCTAAAATTGAAAAATCGACAATCGCATAATCAAAAATTGAGTAATTAATAAATCCAGACATTGAAAAATTGAAAAAGTGCAAACTAAATACTAAAAAAAGTCTAATAATTGAAAAATCGAAAAATTCCACAATTGTAAAACCGAAAAATTGAAAACTGAGGAGAAATTAGGAATTAAAAAATTGACAAATCCAAAAATCAAAAATTAGAAAATCGAAAAAGTGGAAAATTGTAAAACAGAAACTGAAACAAATGAAAATTGGAAAAATCGAACAAGTTGAAAAATCGGATACCAAAGAATCGAAAAAATGCAAATTTATTAAAACAGAAATTGAAAATATCGGGAAATTGAGAAAACTAAAAACAACAAAATCGTAAAGTTAAAAATCGAAAAAATCGCAAAATGAAAAATCTAAAATTGCAAAAGCACAACATTGAAAAATTAAAATCGGAACAATCGAAAAATCAGAAATTGAAATATCAATAAATCTGAACATTGAAAAATTGAAAAATCGAAGAAATGTAAAATCGAAATTAAAAAAAAATCGAAAAATTCCTCGACTCTACAATTGAAAAATTAAAAAATTGAGGAGAAGAAATTAGGAATTAAAAATTCGACAAGTCGAAAATCAAAAATTTAAAAACAAACAAAGTGCAAAATTGTAAAACAGAAAGTGAAACAACTGAAAATTGAAAAATTGGATCATTGAAAAATCGAAACATCGAAAAATTGAAAAATCGAAAAGTTAAAAAAAGATGGAAAATCGAAAATTTTTAAAATCCCGAAAATTGAAAAATTTAAATATGGAAGAACCGAAAACTCGAGAAAGCAAAAATCGACAATTTCAAAAATTGAAAAATTAAAATATCGAGAAGTTGAAAAATTGAGAAATCAAAATATAAAACAGCCAAAAATATAAAAATCTAAATTTTAAAAACGAAAAACTGAAAATCGGGAAATCCAGAAGTCGAAAAATCGTAAGCTTATAAAATCGAAAAATTGAAAAATCAAAATCCTGAGAAATTGAAAAATTGAAGAATCGAAGAAGTGAAAAATCGAAACTTTGGAAAGAAATGGGAAAATATAAAAAGATTACTTCAGAAATCGGAAAACTGAAAATTTAGAAACGTCAAAATTTGAAAAATTCAAAACTTGAAAAATCGAAATATTTAGAAATCGTAAAATTGAAGAGGATAAAAATTGAAAAATTGTATCATTTAAACACCGGAAAATTGAAAAATCGAAAAACAAAAAAATTGTAAACAGAAACGTAAAAAATGGGGAAATTGAAAAATTAGATAACAAAAAAATGAAAACCTGAAAAAGCTAAAAACTACAAAATTCTAAAATTGAAAAATCGACAATCGCATAATCAAAAATTCAGTAATTAATAAATCCAGACATTAACAAATTGAAAAAGTGCAAACTAAATACTAAAAACATTGGTCTAAAGAGTTTAGGCAGTACTTCCCTCGCTGTCGGAAACTTGACGCCTGCATGGCTATTGT